ATATATATAAACGTCCGCATACACAACGTACAACCACTTAACTACTCTCACATACGCTATAACATGCACAGGCATGGCACAAGTGGCGTTCATGCCGTTCGAGGCGTTTCAAACACTGCAGCAGCACTTCACCTTGCACACGCCTGTGCTCAGAGGTAGACCTTTCGCGTTTTCTCTGGACGAACGTGCGAGCAGAGGTACAAAGCATCAGTTCGCTAACTTTATGCAGAGGTAGGTAACTTTGTGCAGAGGTAGGTAACTTTATGCAGAAGTACGTATCTTTATGCAGAAGTACGTATCTTTATACAGACGTAAGTAACCTGCCTGTGACACGGGCTACGAGGCTGCGACCTTTATCAGAGATCAGATGAGGACAGTCTGTGCTGTTAAGTCAAGTGTCTGTAGGGTGTGTTGTAGCAATGCGTATTACTCTCGGCGTTAGGCGTATCGCCGTGTCCACGATATGGGAAGGTCTAAACCCTTAAAACCCTAAAAACCCTAAAAACCTCGTGTGACAGTTATTCCACAAACAGATGGCTTGCACTCACTGCAGGTAGGCGTAGGCGTTGTGTATGTGCGTTTGCAGCAACATGTCGCATCCCTAAATGCACACGTATAGTTGTCATACGAGTCATCCGGCAGCATGGGGCGTGTTTACTTTTAATTGGAAAAAAGATACAGTCTGGTGTCTCCGTCCCAGTATGTGAATACATACTGTACAGTGCTAATACCCATACTACTTACTACGTACATACAGTACAGTGATACTACCCATACTACTTGCTACGTACATACAGTACAGTGCTACTACCCATACTACTTACTACGTACATACAGTACAGTGCTTCTACTTACTACGTACATACAGTACAGTGCTAATACACACACTACTTACTACGTACATACAGTACAGTGCTAATACTCATACTACTTACTACGTACATACAGTACAGTGCAAATACTCATACTACTTACTACGTACATACAGTACAGTGCTACTACCCATACTGCTTACTACGTACATACAGTACAGTGCTACTACCCATACTACTT